TATTGTCTTATTTCAGCTGTAGACATATCATTACTATTTAAACTGAGACGGCAAACTTGAGGTTTAAAAAAGTTTTGAATAACTGGTAGGCATTTTGTTTTATTAGGCAAGGTCTAATTTGTTTATTTATGGTATTTCTTCAATTGGAATTACAGTCAGTATGTTGAAAATATGCTGATATGAAAACTGTTGTTATGGTCTTGATAATATACAACAATACTTAGTTACTGATCTGATCGACTCGATATTTCGAGTTAAGCCAATAGGCAACTGTTCCTCGTGTACCATTGCAGACTGTACTTAACATTATTTTGATCGGTCGTTATTTAATGACATCATAATACGCGTTATGTCGCAATGTTTCCTTAAAAACCATATGTGCATTTCTCAATGATTAAAGGATTTTCACTGAAAAACATTTAAAAAACCTTTTTTTCAAATAGAATTATGTGAAAGGACAAGTTTTGAAAATTTGCACTACTTTGCACTCTAATTATATGATAAACAGAACATTCACAGTAGTTAAGAGTGGTTTCTATGATTTAAAATACCAGATTTCAACTTATAAAGATAATAAAGTATTTGCTGCTTTTATGAAATCTACATTTTTGCATAATTTCTCAGTCAAAATGCACTTTTAGGCACCAGCAAATTTAATAAAATGTTTTAACAGTGTCTTTGTGTTGTAATTTAAGGTTATCATTAGAAGTTTTGTCCGAAAAATGACTAGTGAAGGTATACCGAAAGAATTTAATTATACCTACACGTTGTATCCAAAATAAATAAATAAAGCGATAAAAGGATAATTGCCTTACAGTGCTGAAACAACTTTATTTATTTTCAAAAATGGACAAAAATACACAGATTTATTCAGAAAGTCATACCGATGAAGATCACACCAGAATATTTGGAAAAATCAGAACTATAGATTTCAATATGGGTCAATATCCCTAATGCGCCTCAAAATGAGGAACTCAAAAGTTGCGTGTAAACAAAAATTCTCTCTGTAGTGATATTGTTTCTGTTTTAAATAAGTGACTGAGCTTAACCAATTGTGTTGATTTGGAAAGTAGAGGAATATAAAATAAATGTAATAAAACTATAAAGCTATTAAATGTGTTCAAAGTATTTATTTCAAGACCTTATGTGATTTTTTTACTACGAGGAGCCGCATCACGAAAGGATTGTCGGGGTATGCTAATTTACGAGAAAAGTAATCTCACTTCGTACCCCGAAAATTTAACCACACATGTGAAAATGTCTCAGCTCCAAAACGAGCCATCATACATATTTTACATGTTTAAGTTTACGATATGGACTGAGCTACAGAAGAAAACGTTACAATTACCGCCTACGGAGACACAATGCAAATTGTTTTTCATGAATGATATCATAGATGATAGAGTCAAAATTTTAGAAACATATGTACTTTCTAAACTGAAAACATAAAAAAGATTGAGGCAGGCAGATATCTAACGAAATCACTGGCATACCACAATAACTCAGAATCTAATCTATACATCTATATTATGATGACCTCAGCGTTCAGTGTATAATCAGCATGAATACAGACGGCACCTTAGGGTACACCTTTAAATATCTGATCTCATTCACTGCAAGAACTTTCAATTTAATAGATAATTTAATCATGTTCTGTCTATCAGACAGTTTTCAGACTTGTTCACTGCGGAAAAGTAAATATTGTTCATTTGCAGTCAATTCAGTTTAGTTCAATTCAGTATTTTGTTGATGTGTACAGGACAAAAACACCACTCAACCATTTAATCATAGTCTGCACTAATTCTGGTTGTCTGCAAGTAAATTAGCAAAGAGTAATGTATACGGGAGTAGATAGGACTGATAATTTTTGAAATACTAAAAGAGGAACTAAAGATACCAGAGGGACAGTCAAACTCAGAAATCGAAAATAAAAAGACAAACAGACAAATAATAGTACAAAAGACACAACATAGAAAACTACAGACTTAGCAAAACGAACCCCAGCAATAACTAGGGGTGATCTCTGGTGCTCCAGAAAAGTAAGTCTTTTCTACCCCAGGAAACTTTACCCTAGCTGTATTTGGCAAAACTTCAAAGAATGTTGGTCCTCATTGCTCTTCAACTTCGTACTTTTTTTGTCCGGTTTTACCTTTTTTTTTATTCTAGCGTCACTGATGAGTTTTTTTTTAGAGACGAAACGTGCGTCTTGCGCAAATACAAAATTTCAATCCTGGTATCTGCAAAGAGTTTATTTACTGAATTAATGAAAATTACATAGCACGTTATTCTTCAGTCTGTTTGTCTTTTTAGATCTATTAATTTTGAAATGACCGTTTCAGATCAATAGTATTGCATGTTGAGCAGGATCTGTTAACCCGTCAGGAGTACCCGAGATTACCCCCAGATTTTGGTGGGATTCGTCTTTAGTTTTGTTATGTTGTGTCTTGTGTACTAATATTTGTCTGTTTGTCTTTTCCCTTTTTAGCCATGCCGTTGTCATTATCGATCTATGAGTATGACTGTCCCTCTGGTATCTTTCGTTCCTCTTTTGTAACCGTGCTTGATTATCGGGAAAGCCTTTTTTATTTGTTATTAATAAGCTCTCTGACTTTTTATGACGTCTTTACACTAAATCCATTGGATGTTGGATGTGTACTGATTGATAATTTAGTCTAAGATGCATGACTACTGTTTCCCCCAATGTCCCAGGTGAGGGGATGATTTGGATCCCGCTAACATGTTAAACCCCGCCTAATTCTGTATGTATGTGTCTGTCCCAAGTCAGGAGCCTGTAATTAAGTGGTTGTAGTTTGTTTAGGTGTAACATATTTGTTTTCCGTTCAATTTGTTTTACATAAATAAAGCCGTTAGTTTTCTCGTTTGATTTGTTTTACATTTCGGGGCCTTTTATAGCTGACTATGCGGTATGGGCTTTGCTCATTGTTGAAGGCCGTACGGTGACCTATAGTTGTTTATTTCTGTGTCATTTGGTTTCTTGTGGAGAGTTGTCTCATACCACATCTTCTTTTTCATATGCCGAAAAATATACAAAAACAATAAATATGTAACGCATAAGACCATTATTTTGAAGGAAAACATTTGTGAATTATTTTTTTTGGACTTTTTTTTTTAGGAAATTAGATATAAACATCAGAAACATTCTTCAATTATTGAATAAGAGTGTTTGGCTCTGTTGTCTGCACTTCATTATTGTGATGTACATTTGGATGCCACAATGCATCATATTCCTGTGTATACAGATCATATCACATTCATGTTCATGCAAAAAATGTGAAAAAGAAGTTGAATAGATGCGAGTTTATTGTTACAGGAATATAATGTAATTTTAAAATATATTAAATAAAAAGATGATGTAATAACATATTCTTTATGTAGATCTTATCATTAACACTCTATATCTTCCAATTTTGGGTATATATTTTGTGAGAAGAAGGTGTTGTGAAATTGTAACCGAAATTGGGAGCTCATCATTGGAGAACGTAAAAAATTGAGAGTTAGTATATTTTCAAATTAATTAGAATAGAATAAGCTCCCCGAAACAATCGATAAAATGGCATTTATTGACAGTAAATTTAAAAAAAAAAACGTATATTGTAAAATTGTATAAAAAACTTGTTAAATTTATTATTGATCTTTGTCTTTTGTTGGCAAAATTTTAATTTATTTACTATTGAAAAAAGGAAAGAATCCTCACTGGTGTTAATTTTTGATTGAATACTTTGTAGAAGAAAATTCAATGGATTAGCTTTCGTTGATGCATAATTGGACAAGTGTGAGAAATTTAAGAACTACCGTACTTGCAACCTTAGGCGTTACTGTTTGACGTGCACTTGACTGATCGGTGACGGATGTTTGACTGATCGATGACCCTTAGACTCCGTCAGATACGTCAAATAAGGTATGTGAGAGTTACCGTAACAACGGTCAGCGATCGATCAGTAAATCAATTATATGCACGGATCAGACGGATATGTATATAATTAGAATTCTTATGTAAAACGAACACATTAGTATTTACAAATGATAAACGCGGATCAATACAAAGACACATAAACTCGTTAATATGTAATCAACTTGGTCGCAATAACACATACACATCTATATAAATTACTGTTTCACGCATTATATGTATTACTTCACATTCTCTTTTTTTTCCTGCCAAATAAATTACATAAGTTCAAAATTACGTCGTGCTCGGAATGTTTCTGTGCCACTAAAAAACGATCAGATTTATCATTTAAATAAGTACTCTATTTCATGTCACTGGTTGATGAAAACGTAAAAATAGTACAAATGTAAAGATACTTGAATTTAAGAATTTCAATGGATCTTTATATTGAATAAAAGTGTTGTTTTAACTATTTGTTTAAATTACCAATATATCCTCTTCTTTTTATTTTAAATAATGCAATGATATTTGTAATAAGTTATTTTGCAGGTCCCAAGATAATTTTTTTTTATAGAATATTAATAAAATAAGAATTATAATACTTGAACTTTTGTTTGTGTTGAATAAGAACGCGAGGATTTCTTTATTTTGATAGAAATAAGGAACCAACATAATAATTTTAGTATTTTTTTATTATCAGGATTGGTTGTTTCTCATAAAATATGCTGAATTTTCTTTATTTTATTGAAAGTTATTGACCGCCATAAGGTATTATATATCCACCTAATCTCATTTACAGACGAAAGGTATTGATAATTATACTTTTAATAATTAATTGTTGGTTTTGCGGCATTATAATAACTAAATACAACCTGAACGCGTTTCTTTCCAATAACATAGATGACCTGCTACACAACTGTTTTAAATCATAACACAACTCACGCATTAACACGCCAGTTTTATGATCTAGTATTTTAAATACTTTTAATAAATTCTGTTTAATTATAGGTATAAGTGTGTATTTGAATCCACAATTGTCTTATCAAATTTCCCATATTTCAAGGTCATGTAAAAGGTTTTACCACATAAGGTGCAAGTTATTTCAAAATTGGGTTGTGTAAATACGTCATTTTTATCGATCGACATTGAATTTAACAAAATAATCTGTCATAAGCATAGTTTTGAAAGATAAAAAAGTCTAAGGTAAGTTTTGTTTCATTTTAGTTTATATAAAATAGGAAACGTTTCTTAATTTTACAATATTTAAGGTGATATTACACTTAAAGTAGACAGATTTATATATTAATTGTCTGTATTGCTTCGTTTTTTGTGCAATACTGGTTATTATCGATGCCGGGGAGATAATATTTAGTATCTTAATTATAAAAGTTTGACTTTAATATTTTAAGACATATTTGGAAATCACTTGTTGAGCAAAATTGAATGTTTGCAAGTAAACATGTTGTACAGGTAGCTAAGTTAATGATATATTTAGAGGAATATATTCGTGTCACAATCTACAATTTCGACTAAAATGAAAACAAGTATGATTATGTTAGAATTATAGTTCCCATCTTTAAATAGATTCAATAGAGATAAAGACGGAACTATTTCAGAGTGTTTTTATTGTTTGCACCCTTTGAAGATAGTCAAGTGTTACAATCAAAATCAATGTATTAAGAAAGTGGTTATATGTCGTCTTCATCAATTTGTGTACACAAATCATAACTTGTAAAACCTGTCAGCAAAAGAATTTCAATGGATTGATGGTTTCTATCCCTTTTTTTAATTGATTCAGAGGTCTCTTTAATATTTTCACCTTATTTGAAAACAAATGCTTGTTACCTTGAACTCATAACGCGTTTAGATTTTGACAGACTTTTAATAATCAGCTGACAGTAAAAAGGTAATTGTAATAATTTGATAATAGGCGGTAAAGTTATGAATACCTGTAGTAATTTAGTGGTGAAATAGCTCAAGTTGGACCTCAATGAGTCATTATTCTTTTAAGTTTTTTAAACTTTGGTTACTATAAACATTCAGTTTTTATATTTTTTCCTAAAAATTGTGCAGCTCATTCGTTTTACATGATTTTTTAAAACATGAATAGTCTTAAAATATGCACCACTATCACAATGTTATGTTAACTGTGGAATCGAAATACTTGATATATATGCTTGTCTATGATTGCTGGTTAGAATATTACCAACACATGTTCACAGATGAGTTAAGGTATCTGTACATAAGAAATTGAAACATTAAACTTATAATTTTGTTACAAGGCTATGTTTTATTAAAATAAAAATCATATAGAGTCAATACGCATTTCTATATAGTGAATGCTATGAAGGTATGTATTGCAGTAAGAGCAAAGAAAGACACAATATACTGTGAAAAATATGTTTTCAGTGCTAGTGTTTATTAAATCAAATTAGATTAACATGAACTTTATAACAAAACAAAACCTGCATCCTGTGGGAAATATAAAACTGTGTTTCAAATCAATTCGTTACGTTCACAACACATCTCCCAACTATAGTTTGAAAAAATTTTAATTAACAATTCCAAACTAACTGCGAGCTTAACATTGATTAAAAATAAATAAAGAAATGAAACAATAAAATAACCTGTTTTGCAAAAAAGATGCAACCAGTGTCTTTTGTGTTACACTGTAACTCATCTTGTTAGTGGAGGCTTCAGCTACAATAGGTTTCGGAATGACAAACCGGAAACAATTAAAAACAATCAGAATTCTTTTTTTAATCTAGAACAATAAACAAAAAAAAAATCATTCATGAAAAAATGTTCTACTGAATTACAAGCTTCAGGTTTTGGACAGACACATACAGAATATCGGAATGTTAAAATGTTTATATGTGCTTAACCTTCGGATTTAAATGCTGATAAAATGTATAATACATTTGTATTATTTAATTTCTTATTGAAGGCTACACTAATCTCAGAAACTTGTACCTACGATATAATTTTTTTATAAAACAGCCCTGTTTATTGAAACTATAAAATCGATATTTCAATTGGACATGCATAGTAGATAGGTACGGGGTGGAACCATCAAACGTTTGATATTGGAAGAAAATTGTTACACTTGTTATTGAAGAATTCGGAGTAGATCTTTTTAATTTTCGTTAAATCACATCTGATAGTAAACATTCTAATTCTTTTTACAAATGCCATTTAGACATCGTGATAAACATATCAATCTTTGTAAAGAGAAAAGACACCAATCGGGAATTAGAACCCATTTGACTGTAGAAAACACAGTGTCAGAGAATAAAAAGTTAAAAAATACTACGTAGCAAAAAACGCAAGATAGAGCAACATATACCCGCTAAAAAAACCTGAGGGTCTGCAGTTGCTGCTTCACTGGTGACACGGATGTGTTTCTCATGTCAATATAATTCATATTGCGTGATTAAGCATATTCTGTAAACAAATATAACAACGGTGAAAAATATTTAAAAACGCGTTTGTCCTGTTTTAGTATAAAGTATAAAATAAAATGAAGGATATACGTTTGCAATAATAAAATAGTGATATATACAACATTGTCTGTATAAATTATTTATTATCAAAAGACATTAACACATAAGATACAGTTTTATTAATGCTACTCATATTGGTTAGCCATGGGTTGTCCAAAGACACCTTTTCGACAGAAACAAGTCAACCATAATTAGAGCATTTGTGTTTCCCATACAGATGCCGATTGTCGTCTACAAAAAGTAACAAATGTGTTGTGAATAAAACAAATATGCATAGTCATTATCAAAGAAGTTGTTACAATCAGAGTGATTGTCTTACAAAGTATGATTGATTTTCAACTTCCTTAAAGATGTTCGCAGCTCTTCAAAATAACAAGCTTTTTAAATTTATAAAGGACAGTTATACTTTGAAATTAGATAAATAACGGAGCTTAATAAGCAGTTGAAAATGCAAGGTCCATGTCCTTGTTTTTAGATTTAAGCCATTGAAAATTTGGCGGGAAATAACTAGGTTTAAATTTTTTATATATTGGACATTAGCACTTCTTTTCTTTTTAAATCTATGAAAAAATAACAAAGATTTTACCAAATTATAAAAGTGGCTTTTTGAACTCTGTGTTATCATATTTCAAATGAAAAGTCTGGGTTAGCGGTTGAAATTGTTGACTACATAGATAAATCCAGAGGATTCCGAATACCTTATACAAAATCAAAAACAAGATAAGTGACAATCCGTAAACAAGATGTGTGTATATAAAAAGTGAAACAACAAAAATACTCCAAGGAACATTCAAAACGGAAAAACTTTTTTTCTCAAACGCCAAAATCAAAAACTCAGCAACATTAGACCAATTGAAAACGACTCACATATTCCTGACTTGGTAGAGGAATTTCCATATGTAGAAAATGGTGGAATATACCTAGTTTTATAGCGAGCCAAATCTCTCACTTGTATGACAGTCGCATAAAATTCCTTTATATTGAAGTTGGTCATCATTGTTTGAGAACCAATTTTACTAATTGGTTAACATTTATGGTATCTTTAGTGAGTTTTTATCAGAACTAGACAGGTGCAAATGCTGGTTGACATTTCGTTCCTTGTTATATTACCAGCCTAGTTATCAGTAGTATCCCTGTGGTGACAAGACAAGAGAAACCAGTTAAACTTCATAAACTAAAAATATAACTCAACATACCCAGGGACTTTTGCTTCAAAATCAGATCTGACACAACGTTTGGGTAATTTATTATTTGTTCATCTTTCCTAATTGATTTAAACCATTGTGGTAACGTCAGCCTATTCATCTATCGTGGATTCTTTTTCTAGAATCAACGCTTCCTAAATCCGTCGCTGAAATGGACTCACCTGATTATATTCTATTGTCTCCTTTGTGTTCATAATTTCATTAAGTTTGATGAATTGACTAATTTACTGATTTCTGTTCACTTATGGAATTATTTAAAAAAATTACCTTTAATGTTTGTAATTTCTATATGCCTTCACTGGGAATCGAACCCGTCCATGAATTCTGATATGTGTTACTGACATCAATATTTCGACGAAACCTCTGAGCTACCAATCGGTTTCGATTTAAATGTCTATTTTATATATATAAATGAATATATGATATACATCGGTACAACGGACACACAGGGCTTGTACCTTTATAAATATATACGTAATATGTAAACGTATAGTATGAGTTGGTAGCCACGAGGATTCATGGTTGAGATAAATGAGGTAAAGGTAAGGACTTTTCTGTTTAGGTTCGAATCCCTGAATTTTCTTTGTTGTCCCTATTCTCTAGTTTTCCAGTTTTTGTTCTTGTTTTGTATGTTAATGTCGATATTTTGTGTAATACATACGAGTTTGCTCGTTTATTATCAAACTATTGTTAGCTATTCCACATGTTTGAAACAAAAATGAATCCATTTTTGTTTTATAAATTAATATGATATGATTTCATCTGTTTTATTATATAATTTTACAAATGTTATTTCGCAAATTCCTATGCTAGAAACTCGTGATGTGCCTAGAATTATGCTTTTTGTTAGAAATTTCGGAAACTTATACTTATTATATGCACTATATATATGTTTTTTGTCGGGTTGTTGTTCCTTTGACATATTCTCCATTTCAGTTTTCAATTTTAATAGAAATAACTTCGAATGTATCTTATTTTGTAAAAACAGATAATATTCAGATTCTTGATAATATGGCGATCTTTAAGGGCAGATGTGTTGTTTTAAAATTTATTTGTATTTTTTAACCATTTAATTGTGATATTTAATTCATTGTAATTGATCGTTTGACACCATAACATGATTACTTAAACTCACTTACAATACCTTCTAATTAAGAATAGGCGTTAATTTTTAACCGAGCTAATGGTTTCTTTTTCAAAAATCAACGCTTCTCCATTGTATCTATATCACAAAATATTTAATACCAGTTACCAGGTTGACAGATTGACACAACGGTTTCATGAAAATATTTAACACAGACAGTAATTTTGTATATTTTTTTTACAGATAGGAGATGGACAGAGATTAGCTAAATAAGGTATTTTTAATAACTGAAATGAGAAAATGTAAATTCAGAAATTATTGGTTGCATTTATTATTGCGATTTTGTTATTTAAGACTAAAATGCGATTTTTATTTTTGCTATATTGAGAAAAATCCTGTTTAATTCATATACAAAATTTCAAAATGCGAGTTTAAATTATTGCGATTATTACCCTGTCGCATTTTTGCAATAATAAAAACATCGCAGTAATTTCTGAATTTACAGTATTACCCAATATCATTGTTGCATCAAAGATAGTTATTCATCATTCCGAATTCAAATTTTACGTAACATTGGTTTATTGTAATATAACCGATATATATCCTTTTCCAACATGTCTCTTCTTTAAATGGTTGTTTTTTTTTCTTCTATTTTACCGTAAATTGCCAACAGATTAATAATAACTATTTTATAACTTATGAAGTGTAATTTTCATAGCATCTTATTCTAAGTATATTTTGCTTGTACGTCTAACTACCAACGTATTTAAAGATTATGGAAATCAATTTAGAATATATAAGCTCAAGTATGGTAAACACATTTTGCTTCGACGTTTTCTCATAAGATCCAGATTGTATTCTATCTCATTTTGCAACTGTTATTGGTATTATTTTTTGTATTATTTTTTAATAACATAACTATTACCATTCAATTGTACAAAGAAGTAGGATCAGTTATGGTTAATATGGTTGCTGGATGTTGTCCAAATAATAACCCTGCTTTTCTGTTTAATGTACATACTTGAAATGAGAGATTGGCTAATCAATACGATGATTTAGTTCATAGCTTAGTTTATGAAGTTAAGTAACAAAATAACTCCCTGTCTACGGGGTTCTTATGTTCATCTGAAAGTAAAAAAAAATATTCCAGGAACATGAGCTCATAAATGTTGAATTGAAGTTTTGATCCTGCTGCAACCACTCTTATGACTGTTGATTTATGACTTTTGAATAGCGATATACTACTGTAGCCTGTATTTATCATTGCTCAGTCTTTAGTTTTCTATGTTATGTTTTTTGTATTATCGTCTGTATGTTTTATTGTTTTTGTTTTTAGCCATGGCCTTGTCAGTTTATTTTCGACTTATTAGTTTGAATCTCAGTTTGGTATCTTTCGCCACTCTTTTATAATTTAACTTCTATCGTATTTAAACAATCATTTCACAAAAATCAAAATAGGTTTAACCTATGTTTTACATTTAAATGTGCCATACCAGTACCGGTCATTGGAATCTACACAAAATATTTCAATGTACGGCTTACTGTATGAATTGGTACCTTGTCAAATATGTCAGAGTAAATAACTAAATTGAAGGTGAACATGAATGACTTGTATAAATATTTTGTATATGTTTATGTGTTTCGCTACTTATACATCATTTGCTTTTAAATATTTGACTTTGGTCGTTCCTGATAAAGATAAACAATTTTTTACACAAATACCGAACTCGAAGGTAAATTCAGATGGAGGAAGTCCACCAAACCTGAAAATATCAAACTGTCGACTACATTAACTGACAGAACCAATGACAAATAAAACTGTCATATTCCTGTCTTGGTATAAGGCATTGCAAAAAAGCACTTCGGACCATAACATTTCTAAACGTTTAATTTCATTTTCATCTTTTTTTTTAATTAGACGGTCCGTCAAAAGAATAAACAAAATATTTTTGAATTGGGCAATTTTTCTAGAATATTTTTGATTTGATTCAAACAGTCACACCAAGAACACCGCGATAAGAATCGGTCCTTGTGTGAAATGTCATTTGAAAATTGAAAAAAAATCTTTTCGAAGCCTCCTTTTAGTGTTGTCTTAAACTGTTACTGAACCAATAATGTAAGTCATTAAACTGTCACCAGACGTTCACTTTTTATTAAATACACAGCAAATGCTTCTTGTGGAATACATATCAGTTGTCATACAACATGATGTACCTTAAAGTTTTTAAAGGGTTCGCGTTGATTTCAGTTTATCTTTCTGTCGATTATTTTTATTTATTTTAGTTATCAGTGTATAGATTGAATCTATTTCATAACTTGTTGGGTTACCATTTTTCCTCAATACACCTGTTCTAATTACCTATACATTTTTTAAATACGGTTTCCTTAACATGTCCTTATCATTCATGACTTGGTACTATCCGCTGCTTAGAAAATTGATATTAAAGAGTAAGATACAATGCATCTCGACTGACTCTGATATCGAATACACTAAAAAGAAAAAAAAATGAATAAAGTCAGCAATACAGCAGTTAACATGTATCCTTACAGATATTATGACTTTTTTAATTATTTTATATTATTTACAATTATATTTAACATGTTTAAATAGCGCATTATCTTATTAAAATTACTCTAAGCGCTTAACATAAAAAAAAATCAATGCACTTAAAAGAGGTGTTTAACATTAAAATAATCAATCAAGAATGAAATAAAATTATGAACACATATAAAAAAGAAAAAGAACAATTGAAAGAACTATAATAATTAAAAAGGCATATATTACAACGAGCAGAACAAAGATAAAAAGTCACTGTCAGAATAAGAAGTTAAATGTAATCACTGAAAGCGAGTCTAAAATAATGTATTTTCAAATTTTTCTAAAAAAAGTTAGATGGAGTGTTCATGTCTTAGATGGCTAGGGAAATTGTTACAGTAGCTTTGACGAAATGTCTTTCTCTGTAAATTATGGTGCGTACACGAGGTTGTATTAGTTACATTGCATTTTCCGATCTAAGAGGTCTTGATTGTTGATATGCGTTAATTAGTTCTTTAAGATAGACAGTAAAAGTATCAAAAGCAGTTTTTATTACAAGAACTGGTGTAATTTGGTGGTGTTTCTTGGTACATGTAACGAGCCTAGCTGTCGTATTCTGTACTCGCTATAATTTATTGACTTACCTAGCATTAACTACAAACAACATATCGCAAACATTACGACGAATCGTAAGATAAACAACTTTTTATTCTCTTTATTTTCCCCTGTTTTTATAATTTCCCTCATGCGACGGGTTCATGTTGTTTTGCTATGGCATTGTCAGTCTTTCATTGACCTATGAGCTTTGAATGTCCTGTTGTTAAATTCCAAATCTTTTACACTGCATTTTGATGATCAATCCCCTATTCCTAGTTTGTATACATTTAAATATGCTGCCTTTTATTTGTCAGAGTAAATATGAATTACACATTATTAACACGCGACGATGTAATTTTGAATGGAGATGTCGTTTTATATCATTTAAAAATGATATTTTAGCACACTTGTCACATGCTGTATATACTTTAATCATTGGCTTCGATGCATTTGCTACAAACATAAGACATCTCAAACAAATGAAAGTTTACTGATAAGGTACGCATATTGTGAATTAGAATGCAATTGATGTACATATTCATTGTTGAAATACTGTTGTACTCTGACCTTCTCTAGTGTGTACAAACCTTTACGGATAAAGTATGAAATGCAATATCTGTCAAGATGAAAATAAATGCTCTACGCATATATTATTTATAAGGAAGACAAGTAAAACTATCGGCAAATATTGCAATTGTATTAAAAAGATAGAAACAAAATATATTTGATACTATTGTACAAAAACAAGTATTAATATATGTTTTTTTTTCTTACGGGATCTCTATTACGCAGCTAGGACCGGAGATTTGGAAAAGGTCAGATATAATTTTGCAAATTATAATATGTTGATAGTACCTCAGTTGTCAATACTATTACGTCTAAAAAGTTAAGTAAATATGTTGAACAGTGGCAATGCAATTTACAGTCAGAGAAAGTTTTATCTGGTAAAGGTGGTAACACAATTCGAACATATAATCTATTTAAGACAGGTTTTGATTCATTTTTTTCGTACGGTGACCTATATTTGTTAATTTCTGTGTCGTTTGGTCTCTTGTGGAGAGTTGTCTCATTGGCAATCATACCACATCTTCTTTTTGATATTGAAACAGAAAGGTATTGCACAATTGTAATGCCATTTTCGCAAAGGATTTCTTTTGCCAAATTTCGAGGTGGTGTAGCACCACTAAGAATCGAGACTTTACTTTTAGAGGTTTGAGTCTGTGATAATTTTTAAAGATATTTTAGAAGATAAAGCCCAAGTTATTTTATCCTGTCCTATATATGACAATTTTAGAAAAAATATTATTTGATAAAGCAACACATTTTAGCAGTGATTTTTTGTCTTTTGATGAAAAACAGAAATTAGTGTTTTTATTTACAGATATGAATATGATTCGTAGTTGTGCCAAAGCCTGTAATCTTATTTTAAATAGACGTAGAAATGTTTAATACTGAAAATATTGTTCTTATAAATATCTTCTATAATAAACGAATTATTCATATGTGACCCGCTATGAAATTTTGTGCCTAAATGAGGTGTTATGTAATTTGCGGGAAATTGCGTTACTTTGACAACTAAAAGAAAAACACTTGAAAAATCAAGCACCTGTTCGGCAATTGTCTTTCGTTTTACGTCTTAGTACTAATCACAGACATAAATCGATATCCCTGATTAATTTTATAATATCTGACAACATGTTTTCCCAGAAAAATGCGGTAAAAGGTCGGGTAAATGTTAATTATTTGGGCCTTCGCGTGAAATAAAAAATCACAAACAGATTTCGCCGCCTCAAAATTGGCAAGTAAGGATAGTATATTGCTTCACATCTTTCTAGCGCCACCACAATTCCACTAGATTTAGTTGAAGGTCGAGATTTAGATTTTCTTGATAAAATAACAACAGTGAATGATTTATACTTTGGGAACGCAGAATCAGAAAAGTCTGAGAGACAAATTTTGTATAGTGACATAGAATCTGACACTGACACTGACAGTTTCAATGATTATTGTGTGGTCAGTTTTTTAGCTAGTGGAACAACTGATGATATAAGTAATGAGTTAACAAAGGCAGACATCTTGGAGACTGGGAATCGTTTGTTGAATACCGTGAAAACTGCCTAGAAATGGCAACAACAGAACTT